CCGGAACCACCGCCCAGCACTTGAGCGAGGACGAGAGCGAGAGACGGCACACCGATCGCACCTCCGCCGCAGACTGTACAGCCCATGCCGAAGCCACTCCCATGCAGTTTTCGCACGGTGTTGTACGAAAGTCAAGCCGGAACCGTAATTCATCTTTGGCACTTCCACAAGCAAGAGTTCCCCCGACAAATAGGAGGCGTTGCCAGGAATATGACGGTCTGACGGCATCCACCGCGCTCGAATGCACGTACTGTGTGAATTCAGGGCTCAAGGGAAAGCGGGACCACTATCCCGCATACGGGCACTCGAACACTCCGGAACAGAGCTACCGTCGGCACCGAAGGAAGTGGCACCTCATAGGTTCCCTTAATGCGGCAGGCAGGCGGGGAATGCCGGGGGATTGACCACCCACACCCGGCACAAACACCCGACAGAAAGAAAGTCGTGACACTAAAAATGGAGAATGAGTAACCACGCGCTGCAAAGCTCGAACTTTCGCATGAAGAGCATCAAGCCAACGCAGAGCCCCCGCCTCCACGCAGGAGGAGAATGCCACCGAGAAACAGTGCACCGTGTGCCTAAATTGGCACGCACACATGCATTGATTAGCGTCACGCTGTTGCCGATTTCCCGGCGGCAGAGGGCTCAGGCCGCCGAGAAGGCGCACGTTGCTCGGCGACGACATCCCGATGGGATCCCCACCAGTTTGGTTTTGCCGTTTAGCGTGCGGGTTTCCGTGCCACAGCAATGCCTGACTGACCCGCTACCGCACGGCACGCCACGGGCATCTACCGGACATTGTGAATACCGGCCGACTGGAACTGTGCGGAAAGGCGGGTCTGCATTTACCCCGCTGTCCGGCTCCCACTTCGGGTGCCGGGTCTCTCTTTTACATCTCCGATCGTTGGGCGGACATGCTCTGCGATGGTGGCTGGCGTGTGGGCCTTTGTATTTATTTGAGAAGACACGAGGAATAGTAACAATATATATATATATATATATCAACAGCGCTGAATAGATATTAGTACCGATATTTACATGCCTATCTATATAAATATACAGTCAATAGAATAGCATTTCAATAAACCAAGAAGCCAAGCAATCTGTCGAATTTTAGTAGGGGAAGGAAGGGATATATCCATATCTATACAGATGCATCGATAAATAAAAATAAAGTAGCGTTTTGATACTCATACCCATATCGATATACCTATACATTGATCAATGCATATTTTCATATCTATACCCCTCCATATAATTTTTTTACCGTTCTTTCTTATTTGTGGCATTTTGCTTCCGTTATATTATGTATTCTTCTCCCGTGAGTTCATGCTTACGTTTTTAGAGCGCATAGGCATTCCGTCCCGCGGACAAGGCTTCATACGCACTGAAGCACCCCATCGGACAAAAGTCGCAAGGGGCTTGCGAAGCCCATCTCAGTTGAATGGCGATTGCTATCTTCTTTGATCTCCTGAGGAGCCGCGAGGTGTGATTGCGTTGCCCCTGCCACCCAACACAATGACAACTTTCAGCGAGCAGTTTGCAGGCTAATTGTGCAGTTATTATTGAGGTGTACTCCACACCCGTATTTTGGGAGTGAATGCACGGTGTACCTGTAGAGGATGCTGAGGGCGGCGTCAGCGAGGCATGGGATAACATGTGCTCCGGAACAAGTGTGTGGCGTTGGCCAGAGGAGGTCTTGTGTCAACGGCATCATTGATTGATGGCCGGTGGTTTTGGGGCTTTGGTTTTTGGAGCCTTAAGGAATGGAACGCTGCTGGCTGACCAGGTGCCACTCGCCATCCGGTCCCTCCTGGATGTGGCTTAAAAGACGGTGCGGCGGGGGAAAAGGAAATAGGACGTTCTGTGGACATGCACGTGGACGCGTCAGAGCGTCACAATATCCCTCAACAAGTGTGGAGCCCCAGCTTGGTGCTTTGGTCGTCCTGATAAAACTGCCTGGGGTGGAGGTGAGTGCGCTGACTTCCGTTTCACCTAATTTTCTCCATCTGACAGGCTGCGCAGCCGACGTGGAGGGACATCATGCGCACCTGTTTCCGGCGTGTGCGATGCCGTTTCCCACAAATGAGGGCGATTTCGCCGATGATGTACTCCGTCGTCCTCACTTGATTCCCTTGACGACACGATGTAACGCGGGGTTGGTGCTGAGCGACGAAAGCCTTCCGTCTTGCTTGGAACCAAAACGGCGAGCCCATGAAGAGACATGCTGCTCGCGACTGGTTGATGCTTGGCCTGGGAGGAGTCTGCTTGCCACCGTGGAGCATCTAATTTGCTTGATTGCAGCGCCCTCTACGCGTTGCACAGTTCTTGTGCTCCTGAGTAGTGCCGATAAGGGCGGATTGCATGATGGTGTTTCATTGCTGGAAGGCTCTGTAAGGAGGAAAAATATTGTTTTTTTTTTTCTTCATGGAGGAGAAGAATACGTTCTTTGATTCAAGTACGAATGCCTTGTTGCAGTTCTTGTTGGCCGTTGGCGGCTTTGGTGTTTATTCCAATCAATGGCTCTCACTGGCGGTTTTACGACCGAATATTGACGGGTGTCGTCGTTCTTGGTCCCACGTTGCTTGGCCCAACAATAAATTATTTGTGCAGCTGGACAACAAATTTCCTGTAGGCGTGGAACATGTTTTGCAGAATATGCCCACAACGGCTACTGACCGGGCTGGTGATTGTTGCGTCCTGTATGACTCTGACAACGTTCTTGCGGATTTCACTCTGTTGCGTGCAAATGATGTTACATCTGTGCCTTTTCCTGTGGCAGAGGCCTGAACCAACGGGGGCAGAGTGTTGTGATGAATTCGAGCACAGACAACTCTCATGTTGCTCATCGTTGTGCTCGTTTTCACTGCGGTCCTTGACGTGGGGAACATTTTATTATTGTGTGCGGTATGGGGATCACTTATCCGGTGGCATATCGCAGTGTGGTGGTCTTTGGTCAAAGGACCCTGTGGAATAGTTTGTGAGGGCGAGGGATGATGGCAGGACTGTCATGCCCGCACAGAAGGAGACGAGAATAGGATGGTTGATGTGACCTGTAACACTGTGCTCTCGATTGCGTCATTGGATGCGTGCAGAGCAGGTGGCTCTCCGGTGTCTATCGGCTTCACGGCCAACCCGCTGGCCTCTTCTGAAAGGCATTCAGAAGCATTTGTTCTCTGAGGGAGTTTCTGCTGTGTGGTCCGCACACTGCAGTGTCCGCTCCATTGGGCTTTTTCTTTGCTGAGAGGATGGTCTGTTGCGCTTATTGGACCCCTGTGGTGAGGGAGGGACATGGGGCAACATGTCCACCTTTTCGGTGTTGGCGCACCGCGTACTTGTAGTCGCGTTACGCAGGAGGCATAATCATCCGTTGCAGGATGAAAGAGACGTGTTCTTGACCCTTGCCAGCAATGAACGGTCTTCTTGTTATTTTTTGGGGGTGTTTCTGCTGGATGACGAGTTTGCAAATGGTTACGAGGGATGTGTGGCAGCAGAGGTTGAGTGCCGCTTTGGTTTTTTTCTGACGGGCTGTGTCGAGGAATTACAGGCGCATGCAGATGTCATTGCCGGTGTGAGGGCAGTTGTTTCAGCGACCCGAAGCGTGGCTGTTGGGAAGACGAGTTTCACTCTTGCAGCTGAGGCAGGCATCGACGAGGCGAATGTGCGGGCTCACCACCCTACTTTCTGTACTGTTTTGCCGCGACGACTGGACCTGATCGCCAGCCACGTTGGGCCATCGCCATGTGGCTGCAACGTTGCCTTGAAGGGGTCGAGAGGCCGCAGAGCATGGCGTTTGTATTCATTTGTGGAAGTGTCACGGGGGAAGGAAATGCGGGCCTTTTGACATCTGACATCTCGCTGCCTTTTGACGCCATATTTGCTGAGTCCGTGGGTGCTGTGTGACTCTCCTGCCTTTTACTGGATGATTGGAACTGCTGAGATGTGGAGGACATTTGCTGCACCTTCCTTTGGTATCTTTGTCGCACGCCGTGTTCGAGGTGGTTTTCTATTGCTGCACTGCATGGGGTGCTGCAAGGCACTAATTTATGCCATGCGGTGGAAATATTTGACGTCACTGAGGTGCCCCTAGAGGGTGGGAGTGGCGATCCTCCGGCGCGGGTGGTCACTGACGGGTTCACACGCCCAATTGAACTTGGTGTCCCTTTGTTGTACGTTCATGGACTGACCGCGGATATTGCAGAATATATTCAGGCTGCTGCAGCGCTCCATGCATTCAAGGTGTTGTCCTCCGCGCCGTCAACCTCGGCAGCTGACCGACCGGTCTCTTTGAAGGATTTGGGAGGAGGATTCGCTCAATTTGTTCCGCGGCTGGAGTCACTTCCTCCATTTCTGTCAGTTAGACACGCCCACACCGTCACTTTGCTTTTTTTTCTTCGATG